AAGTGAGGTAAAGTAAAAGAAAAAAAGATATGAAAAATAGATAACTTCCAATCTATCTCTGTTCTTAGAAATAATAAGGCTATCATAAGTGCTAGTTTTTAATACATTAAATAGAAATAATTCTTTGTCTGATGAAGTTTCATATTGTTCAATGACGCCCAAACATTTATTATATGAAAATAATGTAATAAATACTACTTTAACTATGGATAATAATAACAACAAGAATAATGGATAGTGCCATCAACCCTTGGGGGTCAATATTGACCACTTTGGGGAACCCTGCCCTAAACCATGTGTTTGTGTTCTGCTCTTCACAGGTTGCTCTGCTTCTTCATTCGTCCACTCAAATATATCTACAACATCACAATCACTGTGCAAGGCTCTGAGAATCTGAATATCAAGCAGCCATATGTGATTGTTTGCAACCATCAGACAAATTTTGATCTTATTGGTATGTGGCTAGCCTATCACATCTGGAACAGCGTATGAATGTTTTGAATTTGATTCCAAATGATTTGAATGTTATTAGTCACATTTATTTCTATTCTCCTCCCAGTCTCCATTCCCAAAATGGGGAGAAGGCAAGATAAAAGCACAGGATGAATCTAAGGAGATAGAAGCTTCCAGTTTCAAAGAGAGAAAGATGTTTCTCCAACTAAAGTACAACATTACTAAATCTGAGCTTTGCAACATTTTGATGCATCTAGATAAAATTGCAAATTTCCCACCCCAAATTTCTGAATGATTCAGATGGAAACAAATGACAAAAAGTCTGTTGCTGTTGCTTGATCTGTTTTTCTCAGAAAACATACAACTTTGCAATTTATACAATATAACACAAGATAGAAAATGCATATGGTTGGATGCTATCATAAATTTAACAATCCAAAGTTTGTAAATAATTACCATTGTGTACCAACTTTCTATTGGAATTCTGTTGACATCTAAACAAAATAACAAGCAGTGCTAATTTCCCTATTTTCCTATACAAATGTATACCTTTAGATGCTTCTATTGCTTTTCAATACTTACTTTAGTTGCTGCTGGTAAACTTAATCCTATATCAAAAAGGAAGACAACCCTGTATTTAAAATCACCTCCAGGAAAGACTTGTCAGCCTACGGTTAGCAACTCAAGCTGAAACAATTACTGGCAATCACTCAC